TCAGAAAAATACAGTTATTCCAATATTACTCTCATGCTTAAAATATTTTTCAGAACTGTGTCCTCAGAGCCACTTGCAACACAAGAAAATTCATGTCATTACACCTAGGTTTCATTCCAGGAATCAGAATTCTTTAGCTTACACACTCACTTCATTTGCTAGTCTTGTTTCTAAATGCATTTAGCCAAAAGAGGTACCTTCAAAGGGCCAATACGGTATTGATCTGTAAAGAGCATTTGACCCGTTTCTCAAAGAACTAAAAACATATCTATCATTCAATCCAGCAATCTCACCACTGGGTATCCTTACCCAAAGGAAAAGAAGTCATTATATCAAAAAGATATCTGCAATAGTGTGTTTATCACAGGACAATTCACAATTGTAAGGACACTGAATCATATGGAATCAATCAAATTACCCATCAGCCAAGGAATACATAAAGAAAATATGGTATGTATACACTGTGGAATACTACTCAGCCATAAAAAAGAATGAAATAATGTCTTTTGCAGCAACTTGGATGGAACTGGAGGCCATTATCTTAAGTGAGGTCATACAGAAACGGAAAATCAAATATCTCATGTTCTCACTTACAAATGGGAGCTAAGTATTCAGGGGCATGAAGAATGGTACAATGAACACTGGAGATTCATAAGGGGGGAGTTTGGAAGAGAGGGTGAAGGAAGAAAAACTTACCTGTCAGGTGCAATGTATACTATTTGAGGACAGGTACACTAAAAATCCAGACATCACCACTATACAATCCATCTATACAACCACAAACCACTTGTACCCCTAAATCTATCAAAATTTTTAAAACAAAAAATACTAAAATCACCTAAAAACAAAGAACATTTGATTGGCATGGACTTTGAAGGCTCTTTTTAAATGAGTCCTAAAGGTGTTCTGCTCCGTAGAAGGGATACAGTAATAAAAACACAAAGTTCATCTGTGAATATATCTGTAGCAAAATTTAACATAGCAAAAATTAACATCATTGCTATGTTAGAATGTCATTCAGTTATATTAAAAGGCTAATTGAGATTAAAATCTTCACTGTTAGCAACTACCCTCCACTGTTAGAATCAAACCAGAGTTTCTATGTGTTGACGATATTGATGTAACCATTTTACTCTTAGCATTTTTTTCTAGCTTCTTCTCTGTGAACCCCTTTACAGTAACAATAAGACACGAGTGCAAGGCAAAAATAGTGTAGTAATAGCTGGACCAGAGAAAAATGCCATTGTTAGAAACACCACAAAAAAATCCATTGGTTTTACATATGCATGCAAAATAGAGTTGGGGTAAGAGTTTGGGAACTAGAAGTCAGGCTGGAATTCAAGTCACAATTGTGCCAATACTAGAGGTGTAAACTTTGCCAGTTATGAACACTCCATAAGTGTCACTTTCCTTATCAGCAAAATGTAGATAATAGTGATACTACCTATCTTGTATTCTGAGGATTATAATGCATGTAGCCCTTAGCAGCACTGTAGACACATAAACATTCAGGAGATCTTAATTATTTTTCTAATAGCTCACATAAAGCTGAAATTCTGAGTGGAACTTCCTTCTGATAGAGGGATATTTTCCTTACTTGCCTATGAGCTGTAAGCTGGGTTAGAAAACTGAAATTTAAGAAATTTGTAAGGGATCCGGGCATGGTGGCTCATGCTAGTAATCCCATCACTTTGGGAGGCTGAGGCAGGAGAATCACTTGAAGCCAGTTCGAGCAACATAGCAAGACCCTATCTCTGCAAAATATAAAAAATTAAAATTAGCCGGCCATGGTGGCGCACACCTGTAGTCCCAGCTACTTGAGAGGCTAAGGTAGAAGGATTACTTGAGCCCAGGAGTTTGAGGTTGCTATAACTTGATAATGCCACTCCACTCTAGCCCAGGCAACAGAACAAGACCCTTTCTCAGAAGAAAGAAATTTGGAAAGGGATTTTTAAGTCTTGCTTAACACTCATTCTATCTTTTCCTCCTAGCGATTCCCTCTCAACCAACTAAAGTAGTTACCAATATAGAATAGCATACTCTTTGCACATGATACTTTTTGTCTCGTCATGTCCATTAAATTCAAGAGTAAACCTAGTTTGGAACATGGACTTACCAACAACTGAAGTTGAATCTGCAGGGTCATCTACCTAATTCATCACAGAGGAATAGAAATACTGCTTCTTATTGGCAGCTAGCTGCCTAGATACTACAGAAATCAAACCACACTGAAACAGTACGTTAACTAAATCAACTGAAATAGCATAACATTTAAATCTACTATTTTTGTTCAAATTACCATAGGGCTACACATGGAATATGTGTTACAAAAGAAAAGCAGAAAGGACACTCTCTTCTCATGAGTAAAAGAAATACCCATAGTGCCCAACCATATTAAAGCTAAGATGTGGGTGTATGAGTTAGGATGTGGGTTCAGTTGCTATAAGAGAAATCCAACCCCACTGTGGCTTTATAAAGCTAGTGTATTATTCCTCTCTCATATAAAAATCTGAGAAGACAATTCAGGGATACTATGGAGCCTACATAGTCATCAAGGATTCAAATTACTTTTTTTGTGTCCTACCATCCTCAAAACACAGTTTCTGTGTCCCGGTTCGAGTTGACTTCTCCACCATGTCTGCATTCTAGCTGGCAGAAAAGACAACACGGGGAAGGGCAGGTCGTGCCTTTACCTGTTAAGAGAAAAACCAGGAGGTACAACCCAAGGAGCCATACAGCTCACACCCATTTGAAAACCATCAGCCTGTATTGATCACTGGCACACCTAGCTACAAAGGAAGGAGTCTTGTGTTGTGCTCAGCCAGTAACTTCATTAGCATGTGAGAAGGGAAGTGTAGATAGTACGAGACAACTAGCAGTCTCTGCCTACAGTTGGGCACATTGATTTAGTTCAGGTTGGTTGGAAATTGACCATTCTTTAATGATACCATGAGTGATTGGTTCAAATGTGCTTCAGCATAGTAGTAAGTCCTGTGCACAAAAGTAGCTGGCATCATTGTTTTTATGCACCCCATAGTTTATCAAGTCAGCATTAAGCCTGAAGTCCTCTCTTATTATAGAATGATCCAGTTGTTGCAGACAGGCTGTTCCTACCCATTTAGATGCTTTCTCTGCAAGTACTTTGACCAGAGCTTAATTTCCTCTGTCTTCTCGGGATCAGATGTTTCCTGGGCTGTTGTTATAGACAACTCAGCCTTGCTGGGAGCAATTCTCTGCAGTTCATCTTCATTTTGCATAGCAATCATTGGGTCCTCTGTAAAGGTGTTTCCATCATGGAATCAGCCAAACACGCAAACACTCCTCCAGTCTTTAAAATCAACATTGAAATTTGAAAGAAATAACATGGGAAAAGGAGCAGAAAGTTACGTGAAACTTACATGGAGTTTAGCACTCATTCTTAAAAAAAAAAAAAAAGGTAACATTCTGGTTTCGTTTTGTATTTAAATGCCTTCATCTTTTAAAACTTTGACACCAGTGTCCCCAAACCGTGCTGAAGTCACGGGCGCCCTGGGAAAGCGCTTTGTGAGGGCTGCACTCCGTTTTAGCTCTTTTGCTGTACTGTGTGTCACGGTCACGCCTTGTCCTGTTTCCTATTTAATTTACTGTCCTATCCACAGTGCATCTCCAGAGCTTGGATGTCGTCAGCCCTGAATGTAGAAAGAAAGGAGAGTTGTTTCTGCAAGCTGAGTGCAGAGCCACTGGCTAACTCTCATGCTTGGGGTGACCTGGCATTTGTGCAGCAGATTTTGAATAGTGTCACGCCGGGAGTGTGTACAGTCATGCCACGCTCAAAATGGGCTCAACATTGATCTCTTCTTCCTAAGGGAGGGGAGAAACTGACAGCATTTCAGTAATCTTTTTCTGTGCCAATCCCTTAAGAAAAGGGATTCAAATCTAAATATGAGAGGTAAGCAAGAGTCTAGTGGCTTTTGGGGGGCGTTGGCAAGAGCCTTGGGGGTGTGCAGCCTAATATTCAAGAAGGACTGCCTTTTCTCCTAGTTCTTTAGGTGGGCTGGGTTTCAAACACAGAAACACATTTCCAGGGAGGGTTGACCCCCACGTTGACCTCCATTTCTCACACCTCACGTCTGCACTTTGATCACCCAAGGAAATCCAGAAAGCTCGTAACCTCAGTGGAGGGTCGATGGCTGGTGGTGGCAGTCATAATATCGCGCCTCACACCGCCCCCACCCCCCACCCCGTGGGGCTGGAAGGAGGAAGAAGGGAACAGTTGCACAAGCCCAAATGCCCACCCTCAAATAGGGCACAGAAAAATGCATGAAATTTGGTCTTTTAGCTCAAACTTAAAGTGCATTTTAACCTATTATGGTCCACAAGGGGAGAGAGGGATCGAAGAGGAGCTCTTTGACCGTGTCACTAAAGCTTTCCCTCGCTCCCACTTTTCACTGTCGTGTGCGTGTGTGTGCACATGCATGCACGTGCATGCTTGCGTGTGTGCCGGCGGTGTTGGGGACAGAGGTGGCTGACGGTAGGAAGAGAAGCCTCTTTCCCCCTGGACCTGCAGTCTCTTCCAGCTGCCCCCGCCCTCCTCGGGGTTCTTCCGTCTGCTCCCCTTTCCCTGTGGCGTCCAGACCCCACTTCTTGTCCTTCAGCTCCGTGGGGTCCTTGCTGAATGGCTGCCCATCCTGAGCGGTGACAGAGCAAGCAGGACAGCAGAGGAGACTTCCCAACCATCTGCCCTTGCGACAGCGAGTGTTACAGCCGGCTGACCGGGGAAAGAACCGAGCTGCACACAGAGAGTCAGAGAATCAGCCTTTATTTCGCTGGCAGGCTCACAGGGGCAGGCCACCACATCCTGAGCACGCTTCCTCAGTCTCCTCCAATTTTATACACTGGGGGGGGGGGCTTACACATAACCAATCAGCTTTCAGCATGAGGTTTGTCCAATCAGCCATGGGATTCAAAAGTGACCAATCAGTAGCAGGACTGAAAGAGCACCCAACCAGCAATGAGCATATATGTATATACCCAATCAGCAGCGGGCTATGCATATGTCCCGCCTCCTCTGGGGCCCCAGGGACTTTTCCCCATCACCCTCAGGAAATGGCACGTGCACAAGACACACTCTGCAGGTAGCAATCCTGGAGGCAGCTCCTGTACGCTCTCACCTTGGAAGGGTACCTGGACCACTGCTGCTGTTCCTTCCACTCCTACTGACTACTGCCATTAGCATTTCCTTTTATGTTCTGTTCCAGTCACTGTGTATCTCTTTTGATTTGCACAAATCTCTATAAAGTAGGTTCTAGTGTTTTTCCTGTTAGTCCTACGAGGATATCGCTGCTCAGTGATCCTAACTGACTTGCACGAGGTCACGCAGCTGACCAAGGGCAGAGCTGGGGTGGGACAAATCTAAATGTAAGTCAGAAAGCGCTGAGGCTCCCAATACCCACTGGGGAAAGAAGCCAGTTAGGGCTGTACTCTGCGGATGAGCTGCGTGTCATTGCTTTGTCATGGTTAGCTTCAAGGATGGCCCGTTTCCCTCGCTGAAAACGCCCCCTGTCTTCTCACCGTCCTCTGGTGGCCTCCCAACTGTCATCTGGCACACGGAGGCCACATCACATCACAGCCCCACCTCATCTGGCCAACCCCCCTGCCGGATCCGTCTGGCTTCCAGGCTCCGGCTACATTTGGGCAAAGCCTTCAGAGAGACCTACTCCCTGGAGGAACTCGCTGAGGGGTTTGCTTGGCAGTTCTGTGTGTGTTTCCTGTCACTTTCACCTGTCTCGTGGAACACATTGTAAACTAGAAAGCAAAGAACATGCTCAGTCGAGAAACTCATCAGTTATGACTCTGGTTGCCTTGGCGGGTGCAGCACGGTGAGGCACCTGTGACAAGGTAGTCAGACCTCCCTGAGTGTCACTTGGGCACCATCTGCGGTGGAGGCCTGAGCTTGCAGGGCAGCACCTGAGAGGAGCGCCCAGGAGGCCTGCCTGAGGGAGGAATGCCTCAGCTGAGCACGTGAGGATGAATCAGAGGGGGTAGGTAGAAGACAGCAGGGGCCAGGGGACAGGAGCAGCGTTCCAGGCCGAGGAGACAGCGCACAGCAAAGCCAGAGAGAGCTTGGCGGCTGCAGGAACTGAAAGAAATCTGCTGAGGCTGGAATCACCAGGCGCAACAAAGGGAGTATGGAGGGATGAATCTAGAAGGGTAAGTAGAGGCAGAGCAGGAAAGTTCTTCTGGAGCCAGATTTGGGGCTTCACTCAGTGGGCAACGGGCCACTTTTAATACTAAAACGCCTTACTTACATGGAGGAGTGTCAAGACCGGATCAGTGTTTCTGAACAATCACTGTTCTCCATTTCGTTTGGTTATTTTTTTTTTAAACCTTTTTAAAAACTTTTGTTTCCTTTTTATTATTATTTCAAGTGGATTTTTGATACAGGGATGAATCGTATAGTGGTGAAGTCAGGGTTTTAGCGAGCCTGTCACTTGAATCGTGCACATTGTGTCCAATAGGGTAATTTTTGATCCCTTACCTACCCCCTGCCATGTTGCCCCCTTAGAAGTCTCCTAAGTCCATTATACCACTCTGTAGGACCTTGTGAACACGTTGTTTAGCTCCCACTACAAGTAAGAACACGTGGTATTTGTTTTTCTGTTCCTGAGATACTTCATTGAGGATAATGGCCTCCAGTTCCATCCAAGTTGCTGCAAAAGACATTGTTTCATTCTTTTTTATGGCTGAGTAGTACTCCATGGTATCTCTATACCACATTTTCATATATACACATTTGATGGGCACATAGGTTGATTCCAATTCTCTTTGCAATTGTGAATTGTGCTGCAATAAACATACAGGTGCAAGTGCTCTTTAGATAAAATGACTTCTTTTCCTTTGGGTAGATACCCAGTAGTAGTGGGATTGCTGAATCATATGGTAGGTCTACTTTTAGTTCTTTGCGGAATCTCCATACTGTTTTCCATGGAGGTTGTACTAATTTACTTCCCATCTTTTGGGTTTTTTTAAGTCGGTGTTTTTTTTTTATAATTTTACTTTTTTATCGATGCATAATAGTTGTATGTATTTTCAGGGTACATGTGATAATTTAATACAATCATATTATTTTTTGTAAAGATCAAATCACTATAAATGGGATATCCACCACCTTAAATATTTGTCTTTTCTTTATACTAGTAATGCCTGAATTCTTCCCTTTTAGCTATTTTTAAATAATAGATCATTGTAAACTATAGTCACCCTACTGATCTGTCAAACACTAGGTCTTATTTCTTCTATCAAACAGTATCTCCATTTCTTTTATCCTTTCCTACATGCTATTCACCACAGTTCTCCATATGAAGATGTAAAGACACAGGTGCTTCATGTAGCTAGGTTTCCCAATTGGAATTTTTTTTCTCCTCGACTTTAGGTAGAAAGAGGCCAGAAAGTCTCATCCAATGCTACGGAAGAAATCCTCTCCAAATGTCAGGAAAGGCCACTGGAAGGCATCCATGGCATGTGCCCTTAGGGTGCCATGCTGACCTGGTGGTGAAAACAACCAGCTCTTTGTGTTTAGGTTCAGTAAAGAAAGACGCAGGGGCCAGGGGTAGGCCCTGGCCAAGTGGCTTCCAGCGGGAAGAAGAATGGCTCTATTGTAAAGGGTCCCATCAACCTTCTGAAAAGTAGGTGGGAGAATGGGGAGAGCGGAGGGGTCCCTGCCGTGGGACATGCGTTAGTAGCAGCCAGCACTTAGGTAAAACTGACTATGTGCCAGCCACTCTCCTAAGGACCCTGCATGTCAATTAGCTCTGTTAATCCCAACAATGACCCTGTGACAGAGGACCTCTGTTAACCCATTCTCCAGATAAAGAAACTAACACCCAGAGAGGTTAAATAATTCACCCAAAGTACCGAGCTGATGAGTAGCCTGCTAAGGTTCAAACCCTGTACTTCCAGAGCCAACTATGCCCTGTCCCCACCCCAGCCCAGTCCATAGCCTGTGACAGTCAAAGGCTCTGCCAGTCCCTTTGCCCCATCGCCCCTATCTCATATCCAATCCCCTGAGCCCGGCCACAGCTCTGGCATTGGTCCCTCCACTGGGCTACAGTGGAAGTTGCCACTCTCTAGGTCCCTGGACTCTCTCAGTGATTCAGGAAGTAGGGCTGTGGTCCCACACTCTGGGGACAAGCTGCACACAAGTACATCCTGCTGAGAAAGAGGAAAGTACGCCCCAGTGTTACCAATGAATCGTTCCCATGGCCTGTTTGCCCTTCATTACAGGTTCTCTGTTCCAATGTCACCTCCTTGGAGAAGTCTTCCTTGACTGCTCATCTAAAATTCACACCCACACACAAACACAAGGCATTAGGTTATCAAGCATCAAATGTCCTATTTCCTTAAGTACTAAGTTTGACAGTTGATATCTCTGACATTTCACTTTGACACTTCTTGTTTTATTGTTATTGTGAAGGTGCATCCTCACGATACATTTGGGCTTGTGATGATCTTTCAGATTTTTTTAGAGCAATATTTGTGACATCGTGGGTAAGTCAAAAATCCGCGTTATTTTCTAATGTGAGTTCCTTCATGGAACCAATGCAGCACAGACAGCTGGAAATATCAGCCAAGTGTTTGGGAAGGGTGTGGCTAATGAACAGAGTACTTCAATGGTTTGAGAAGTTCTCTTCTGGTGATCTTGAAAATGAGCCATGTGGGCAACCCAAGACCAAGGTGGATAAGCCATAGTGGAAATAAATCCATCTCAATCTATATGTGAATTGGCAGCTAGGTTTGACGTTAGTTACTATTCCAACAACATTGAACCCTTTGAAACAAATGGGCAAAGTAAAGAAGCTGGATAGATGGGGTCCCCATGAATTAAACAAGTGTCAGAAGAGACCTCGTCTCAAAGCTTGCCTTTCTTTGCTGTCACAACATAAAGGTGAACCATTTCTACACCGTATTGTTACATGTGATGAAAAATGGATTCTTTTTTGACAATCACAAGTGTCCAGCACAATGGTTGGATAAAGATGAAGTGTCTAAACACAGCTCCACACTGAACACTCATCAAAAATAAAAAGCTAACAGTGTCTGTTTAGTGGTCCAGTGCTGGTATCATCCACTATAGCTTCATGAAACCTGGTCAATCGATGACAGTGATGTCTATTGCAACCAACTGGATGGAATGATGAGGATGCTTGTGATTAAGCAGCTGAGAGTGGTAATAGAGACAGGCCAGTCCTCTTGCAAAACAACACTCAGCCACATGTCGCACAAACAGCGCTGCTCAAACTACAGAGGCTGGACTTGGAAACCCTCTGTCATCCGCCATATTCACCAGACCTTGCACTATCAGTCCCACTTCTTCCAGGCTTTGGGCTACTTCTTGCAAGGAAAAATGTTCCATTCTCAACAAGCTGTGTAAAATGCCTTTCGCGCTTTCATTACTACTCACTTTTCCAGGTTTCTTCACTGCTGGCTTAAAAAGCCTACCGTGAAGATTGCAAAACTGTGTCTATGGTTTAGGTGCATGCTTTGATTAATTGCACTGCTTCTTGTTTGAGATATAATAAACCACACTTTTGAATCGAAATTGGACATGTCATATTTAATGACCTAAATACTTATTCCCTGGCTGGACCTGGTGGATCATGCCTGTAATCCTGGCACTCTGGGAGGCCGAGCCGGGAGGATCGCTCGAGGTCAGGAGTTCGAAACCAGCCTGAGCAGGAGTGAGACCCTCCCCCTGCCATCTCTACTAAAATTAGAAAGAAATTAATTGGCCAAGTAAAAATATATAGAAAAAATTAGCTAGACATGGTGGTGCATGCCTGTAGTCCCATGCTAGCTCGGGAGGGTGAGGCAGAGGATCCTTGAGCCCGGGAGTTTGAGGTTGCTGTGAGCTAGGCTGACGCTACAGCACGCTAGCCCAGGCAACAGAGTGAGGCTCTGTCTCAAAAAAAAAAAAAAAAATACTTATTCCTACTTGCTTGATTTGTCTTCACAGCACTAATCACTTGATGAAATGACACAGTCTATTTGTGTACTTGGCTACTGTTTGCCTCCCTTCCTGGGATGTAATCGATATTCTATATAACACAATATAAATTCCACAATGGGAGGGCCTTGATCTTTCACTACTGTAGTCCTAGCCCCTAGAGCATTGTCTGGCAATAAAAGACGGCCACTCAAGGAACATTTTTTCAATTAATTAATTGAAGAGCAAGCAACAGTTGACCACTTCCAAATGCCTTCTTTACTGGACCTCTTTAGCCCCAGAAGCATGGGGTCTCTCATGTCTCCCCTCTTTTTCTCCTGCACCCACTTTTGCAGGCTCAACCGTGCAAAAGAGAACCAAAAACTGGAGCTGGGAAACTCCAGCTTGTAGCTTGAGCTCACCTTATCTTTCTAGGAGTCTGCACTGGCTCCCCGAGACCTGCTTCTTTCTGTGCACAGGGAGGAGAGCTGAGTGTGTCTGTTTTGGCATGAGCTGCCTCCCCGTGAGGTCCCGCATGTCACTGTGGAACTTGCTAAACATCACCCAGGTTTTCCTCCCTTGCCAAAGTGAGCTACGTAATCCCGCCACACAGCGTGGGTCCGGAACGCGTTCATTCATTTGGAGTTCTGTCCAACTGATGGTCGGGAGTTTGTGTAAAGATAAGTAGGGAGATTTGGAGAGGACACAAATGAATGTAAACCCCAAGGGATAGGAATTCTTCTGCAATCAGTGAAAACTAAAACAAACCAGCGTGGGATTTCCATTTCCTGCAGTGAAGGGAAAGAGGACCTCTCTCTCTCTCTCTCTCTCCCCCTCTCTCTCAATCTCCTTGTCCTGCTGCTGGCTTCAAATTCGGCTCCCTGTCAACTAACTCTCTCCTCCTCCATTCCCCCATCCCAAACAGAATCACAGAAGGCAGAACAGGGTAAGAAAGGTCGGCCAGTGAGATTTGGGCCATCAAAGAAAATCTAATGGAAAGTTCTAGAATAAGGGAGGAGGTATACTTTTCAAATTGTCATTGTTTTTCTCATTCTGGACTCTCCTACAACCATTTCTGCTCACTTAAAATGGAAAAACAGCAAAGCATTATCTTCATGTAAATATTGGAGCAAAAGAGATGCCGCCTAGACTAAAAGAATACCAGATGAAGAAACCAACTTAGCCATGTCTCTTCAAGAATATTCAACTTGTGAGTGTTCAGAAAACACAGTTAATACTCAGTACCAAGTCTGAGTAATTATTAATACCATATGCTTTTACTAGGTTTACGTGAACCACTGAACATCTCACGTAAATAAAATTTTAATTAAGGTACATTGTTATTTCTGCTTGGAATGTTTCAGGCAAGAATTATTAAACTATTTGCTCAGATTCTCACTTTAAGTTCTTATTGTATACTGGAAGAAAATGTTTTATTCTGTTATCTATATTTCAAAACATGTTCTGAAGTTACTGAAGATATTTAGACACGTTGCCTCACAATTTTAATTTTCTTCATCTACAGACTTCCCTCTTTCTCCATAATAAACTTTTCATCACCAACAACAATATTTACAGAGCCCCATATTAAACACTTTCTTCTTGGACCACAACCATTTAGGTCAATGTGCCGTAGAAGCCTCAAATTGTCATAAAAATCCCTTTATATACATTGGGTTCTCTTGGTCTGTATCTCCAAATATTTTCTTTTGATTCATTTTATCACACGCCTTTGAAACACTGGATTCCTCAGCCAGAGCTTCAGCCTGTCTCTCTTCTGAACTCCATTTTCCATTTCAACAGCTTTTTCTATAATGTAATAGAGACCACATTAAGAAATATTTAAATTGTCAACACCCTTTAAGAATTTATAGCCTCAAAATGGAGTAAATAGTAAGTGATCACACTCATTCAAATCCACAACATAAAAGTCTCCTCATGTTACCTCTTTGAAATATCAACATGCCATGAGCATTTTTTGTCTTCAATCTTTTCCAACTGGGACTTATTTAGCTATCGCAATAACTTTCACCTTTTCTTCTAAACTCAAAGGAGTCTAGGGCAGGCGTCCACGTCTAGACAAAACAGAATAAGCATCTTGTTCGATCCCAGATCTTTTTCATGTTGAATATTACTTGCCAGCAAGATATAAAAAGGAAAAAATTTTGCAGGCTCAGATGAACCGTTCTGAGAGCTTTAATCCATCTTTGAGTTTTGCAACCAGAAACTAGCAGGCATCTGATTCACCTGCCACATTAATTTTGGCACACACCCTGTACCAGCTGCTCACTGCTGATTTTGGTAAACATGCTGAGGGGCTGTCTCTACCCGACTTGAGAAGGAGAAGTATAAACATGAATGGCTGCAGACCCACACTTCATATATAGCCTCTTCAACACTCCGATCAGCAATGTTCTAAAAAATAATAAATGATGGCTGTAGACCAATCTTTTTGAAAATAAAATTATTTCAGGCTTTGGGGAGGCATTTTATTTTATTTTATTTTATTTTATTTTATTTTATTTATTTTTTAGACAGAGTCTCACTCTGTTGCCTTAGCTAGAGTGCTGTGGCGTCAGCCTAGCTCACAGCAACCTCAAATTTCTGGGCTCCAGCAATCCTCCTGCCTCAGCCTCCCAGGTAGCTGGGACTACAGGCATGCGCCACTGTGCCCGGCTAATTTTTTCTATTTTTCTATTTTTAGTTGTTTGGCTAATTTCTTTTCTATTTATAGTAGAGACGGGGTCTCACTCTTGCTCAGGCTGGTCTAGAACTCATGAGCTCAAGCAATCCTCCCGCCTCAGCCTCCCAGTGTGCTAGGATTACATGGGGGGGGGGGATTTTAAATGAGAAAAAAGAAAAACTGAGCAAGATGAAATAGACAAATTAAAACAGATATTTTGATTGTCATTTTTTAAGAAAACCTTTTATTTCACCCTTTTTGTAGTGTTTGAGTTTCTTTTTACCATGTGCATGTGTTGCCAGGTTAAAAAAAAAAAAGAATTAGACCTAAAAATACCTGATTTAAAAAAAAATCAACCATTTATTTTAATTGCCTTGTTCAAGGGTTAGCAAAACTCTTTTGACCAGGCGTCAAAATTGGTTGATGAGATGTTGCTAATGGAGAAATCAAGCCCAGCACTTTGTTGGTTGCAAGGTTTAAATATTTCTTTGGAAGCCTCCCTTTTTCACTGGGTATCTTGCTCCCCACCCACCCACCTCCAAGACACAACCCATTCCTCACCCTCCCCGTCTCTAACCTAGATCTCCTTCTCAACTATTCCCTGCGAAGGTGATCAACTTTCAAAATATATAAATGTATGTTTAAAGAAATGGTTAACTCTAGAGGCTTCTGTGAATTAATATAACAAGCAGTGACACAGGGATTCAGGCACCCCAATGACCTCATGCCGTGTGAACCAGACGCAAGGCAAAGGGAGCAAGTGAACCCCTATATATTTGTCAACATGCAACAGGGTCAATAAATAGAGTTCCTCGACTACCAATTTGATCGGTTGATCTTTTAAGTGGTGAACAGCATGCTATGAGTTAGGCATCACACTAGGAGTTAAGGCTACCAAAAAAACTTTTTTTGAGGCAAGATCCCTGTTCTAGAGTTCATACACTAGCATGAAAAGTAGGCACATAAACAAACAATGGCAGTTCCATGTGATAAATGGCTATATCGAAATGCCACTGAATCACAGAAGAGACTCTGTCCTTGGGAGATCTTAAACAGGAAAGATATGTAATCATAAATACCTCTCTTGGCAGCAACCTGGAAGACTGGAATCTGGGAGACCAGAGAGAATCCTCTGACAACAGCCCGGACCAGGGCAGATGAAGGTAGGGGCTTCAGGAACAGGACAGAACAATCGTCCTGTGGAATGTTGTCGCCATAAAGTATGAGATCATATTCATTCACTGGAGAAAGAAAAAGAGAGAGTGCATGTCACCCTCTGTTGGCTGACCCACAAAACGGAAGGAAGACTTAGCAATGCAATGAGTGTGTGTGTTTGTATATTTCTCACCTGCATCTAAAGGACGATTCTGATGATGATGTTGTTAGTCTTCAAGTGTATAATTGGAAAAGCTTGAAAAAACTGGGTTTTCCAACATTCTTATCTCTGAAATCTGTGTTCTGATCTGTGGCCATAAACATATAGTAGCATTCACTCTTTATCTCCTTACATCTGTTAGTTGTGTGTAATATAGATTTCTTACCTGTTAGTGAAGTGTTTGTGTTCAAGGATGGTTTATAATTACAATCAATGAACCCTTTCACAAATGTAGCTAGTATAACTTCAGAAAGTGCAACATTTAATCACAAAGTAAGTTAGTTAATATCGGCACCCTGCAAAATACTTCCTTTGTGTACTTTGATCAGTCTCAAAGTTAAAAACAGTTTCTTTTAGTCGCTCAATCATCTAACTAGCCACTTTTCAATATTTAGATTTTGTTTCGAAAGGATATTTTGCCGAACCAAATTTAAGCCACAGCAATAAAAACAATTGAAAATGATTTTTTGAAAGACTGTAATGAGCTATGATTCAAATAATGCTCTTCATGCCACAAAAAAGTATTTGCACATGAGAAAACTTGCCATAATATGATAAAATGCAAGAAGGATGCTGGTATTAACACACACCTACCCTAGTCAACCAAGTCCAGCTTTGCAAAGGGATCCTGTAATGCATGTGTGTTATTAGTTCCCAGACACCAGCCCAAAGCTTAGAAAATAACAGTGAGCTTTTCCCCTATTCTGTTTCTGTTTGTGGTCATCATTTGAAATCTCATAGGTACCTAGACCAAGATGAGAATGCCACATTCCATTCTAGCTTTATAAACTTTGCATCAAATTAAACCAGAATGCTCTACTTTTCTCTTTTAGGTTTCTTCCATTTGTCAAGTCAATTGTCAATTCTCCGTCCAGAATCTAAAGACAAAAGGAGATAAATAAGAAATTAAATTTCAACAATATTACAGATCTCCATTTTTTTTCTGTAACGGATTGTTCACCAAGACTGAATAATTTTAACCAAGAATGGAGTGAGAAAATCCCATATCGCTTTTCTCTGGGATTTTTTTTTTTCGGAGTAATTAGCTTTCACTGTATTTATTCTGCTTTTTCCTAACTTAGCCAAATAGCCTGGAAACCTGGAAGGATGTCTGGTTTATTTTTTATTAATTAAAGAGAACAATAAAAGAGAATTTTTAAGTTTCCTGGACTCCAATCCTGAATCCACTGGATGGAGCTAAAGTAAAATTAGATTACCATTGGAGAAGAAGGGACCTGCCAGACCCTAAGCACACAGGGAGTTGTTTTTGGCAAAGAAATTATTATTTTGTGCAGTAAATGTTTCAATCCAAAAACTCCCCTCCAAGATTGTCATCAGACCTAGGTAAAGAGAGAACTGAAAAATCACGGCGAACATAAGACACGTGTAACTGGGAATGTGGCCTCTCCTTGTCTGAAATCTGACCTTTGTCCTTGCAGCGAAGCCCAATTCCTGGACTAGAAAGAAGTCTTGAAAGGATGTACCAGAGCACTTGGCAAATTATGGGACCAAAAAAAAAAAATCTGAACGTCAATCTGATCAAAATCTGACACCAGTGTTCAGAACACACACAGAGGAGCATGTTGTACAATGTGCACTCGCTAGAATCCAGGCTGTGAAAGTCTATAGGACAAACAATCTGAGTTTTTCAATAAATAAACACCAAGGGAAAAAGAGAGAGATGGGGGAGAAGAGCCTACAGATTAAGAGATATTGAAGAGACACAGCAACAAGTGCAATCGATGAATCTTATTTTGCGTGGGTGTCAACACCACCATAAAAATGTTATGAGACCATTTGAACCATGGCCGGTTATTTTATGTTAACAAGGAAGGATTGTTGGTTATTTTGAAGCATGACTGTGGTATTGTGGCTGTGTTTGAAAGAAAGAGTCCTTATCTTTTAAAATAATATCCTGGAATGATAAGATTTGCTTCAAATAACCTCGAGGAGTCTGCAGGGGGTTGAATACCTAAGATGCAAGATTGGCCGTGAATTTTAATAATTGTTAAGGTCGAATGACGGGAACACAAAAGGTCATTATTCTATTCTATCTTTGTATACATTTGAAATTTTCAGTAAGAAGAAGTAAAAAATGGGAGCATGATGAGAAACAGGAGCTCTCACACCCAGGAGGTAAGAATAGGAATTTTTGCTACCACTTTGAAGAGCTACTTGGCATTTTCAAGTGGAATATGAGCACGTCTAAGATCCTACCATTCCATTTGTAGGTTTTTAGAAAACTTAGAACTTCTAAGAGGCTGAATTACCCTTTACATAGCTTTTTTTTTTTTTTTTTTGGAGAAGAGTCTCACTTTGTTGCCCAGGGTAGAGTGAGTGCCGTGGCGTCAGCCTAGCTCACAGCAACCTCAAACTCCTGGACTCAAGCGATCCTCCTGCCTCAGGCTCCCGAGTAGCTGGGACTACAGGCATGCACACCATGCCCGGCTCAGTTTTTCTATATATGTATTAGTTGGCCAATTAATTTCTTTCTATTTGTAGTAGAGACGGGGTCTCGCTCTTGCTCAGGATTACAGGATTACAGGCGTGAGCCACCACCGCGCCCGGCCATAGCTTTTTAACTCCACATTTATCACCTCTAATATTTTAAAATCATTGATTCCAATAAGAAATAACACGAGCTCCATTTAACGAGGGAATCTGAAGACAAACTGGTCACAAAGACTGTGAATATCATTTTTTTAAATGATTTGTTATTGTTATGAAATACTTCAAGTATATAAAATATATAGGTTTACAGGACTATCTTCCATAAGCAAAGGACAAATTCAGTATGAGAGATGACAGAGACACGAATGAAAACAATCGAAGTCTAAACCCTAGGGAGGAAGGGCAGTGAGTGCAAATGTCGCTAATCCTCAGGGTGCTGAAATGTACTCATCGTATTTGCTTATGCTGGGTGGTGGGTAGTGTATTTTTACGTCATTTTCCATTTCATTTTGTATCCCTGAAATATTGAATAATAAAACAAAAGAGCCTGTAATCCTAGCACTCTGGAAGGCCGAGGCAGGAGGATCACTCAAGGTCAGGAGTTCGAAACCAGCCTAAGCAAGAGTGAGACCCCATCTCTACTAAAAATAGAAAGAAATTAATTGGCCAACTAAAATATATAGAAAAATTAGCCGGGCATTGTGGTTTATGCCTGTGAGCCTACTTGGGAGGCTGAGGCAGGAGGATCGCTTGAGCCCAGGAGTTGGAGGTTGCTGTGAGCTAGGCTGATGCCACGGCACTCTAGCCCAGGCAACAGAGTGAGACTCTGTCTCAAAAAAAAAAAAAAAATAGAAAAGAAAAGGTGAACACAGTGGCAACTAACCAGCTTCAGTGATGGGCTTGGATGTAGCAAAAGAGTGCTGCAATCAGTCATCTTGTCATAGTCACCCATCAAATGGAGCTTATCTTCTTGTTTATAGCATTAGTGGTTGTTTTTCCCCCTTAAACTGAAAGGCACTTTTTGGGGGTGTAAAAATTCAATTTGCAGACTAACACGACCGCTCAGGACTTTATTGTTTTATGTGCAAAAAGTATAGCACAGGATTTGTGAGCAAATCCATCTACCCATCTAAACCGTAAGACCTGGACAGAATGTATTAGCAGAACACCCTCAGATTCTTAGATGAGAGATATAAAAGATCAATGTCCCATAGATAGATGTTTTCACAATACCTCTATTTACCCCTGGCACAGAATTTTAAAGAGTTTGAAAAAAAAAAATGAGCCTTAGAATCCTAGTTGTAACCTGCCCAGGACTAGATAAAAAGGGCTGTTTCCCTCCCCACTCCTGTTTTATGTCTGTTACAAGTTTCTGATTGGTGTCCCTGAAGGCCACAGTGCTGACATCTGTCTTAAAAGACAGTGTAGCAGCGCCATCTAGTGTACTGCAACGAATACTACACAAAACTTGGAAATGTCCTAAAGTCTTGAAAAAGTAAGCAGAAGAAAAGCATAAAATAGAAACACAGCGCTTCAAGAGAACTTTTGCAATTTATTTTATTCTTTTTTTTTTTTGAGACAGAGTCTCACTTTGTTGCCCAGGCTAGAGTGAGTGCCGTGGCGTCAGCCTAGCTCGCAGCAACTTCAAACTCCTGGGCTCAAGCAATCCTCCTGCCTCAGCCTCCCGAATAGCTGGGACTACAGGCATGCGCCACCATGCCGGTAATCTTGTTTATATATATATTAGTTGGCCAATTAATTTGTTTCTATTTTTAGTAGAGACAGGGTCTCACTCTTGCTCAGGCTGGTTTCGAACTCCTGACCTTGAGTGATCCTCCTGCCTCGGCCTCCCAGAGTGCCAGGATTGCAGGCGTGAGCCACCACGCCCAGCCTATTTTATTCTTTAACACTAATTCAAGTATTACAGAGAACCATGTAACCTAGCAATACTGTAAAAGTTGTATTTCAATTCCTGAGGTTATCTTTCATTTAACAAATTACTCCACTTGTACAAACTGCCACGCTGCTATAATATTACTCAGAGAAAGAGTAATAAAATATCTTTTACCTTAGAGTGGTATGGCTTAAAGAGTAATTTAGGGTTTCAGGAAGGGTGGGTGGAAAATGCTTAACAACCAGCTTTCAGGGGGCGGGAACCCTGATTTGTAGCTTTTGCCTATTTCTATGGTGTAAATATTCCCACCATGGTCAATTTCAACGTGGCAAGCATGGAGCTGTTGCATGTGCTCCAGGTCAGCACGCCTCTTGGTCCTGACTTTACCACTGTTAAAGTGGCACTGAGACAGCAGGTCACTTCACCTCTCCAAACATTAATTT